CCTGGGGGCCTGACAAGCCTTTTGCTCCCTCCCCCCTCCCCCGTACAAGCCGTCGGTCTCGGAGGCCTCTGTCCCCACACCCCGTAGGGACATCTCCAGCCCCCCTGCCTCTTCTCAGGATGATACTTGGGGAGCCCCGGGCTGCCTGGCCCCATTGCTGCTTGGGGGCATGGTGGCTTCAGGAGAGGGGGGCCGTGTGTGTCTCCTCCCGCCCCAGAGCGGAGAGTCTGAGTGAGTCAGGGCGCCAGCGTGAGAGTGCGCGGGGGGCCAATTTCTCATATTGCTGGCGGGGAGAGAGAGACTGTCCGGCCTAACCCGCCCAGTTGACTAGACAACAGACCCCCGCTGCCGAGGGAACAGAACAACCAGCGTCACAATCCCTGCGCTCGAACCGTAATGACCCCGGGATCCCCCCGCCCCCCAGACCGGATTGCACTCGTTTTAAAGGCGTCTTTTTTCTTTTGTGCGCTTCCCGTCGCCGTGCGTGTCTCCCCCTGCCCTTCCAGTCCCTCCCAAGCCAGTGTGCCGCCGTGCACACTGCTGCGCACGTTGCTTGGTGGTGCGCGCTGTTCTCCAAGCCAGCCTCCCTCCGCTTCTGCGCTGGCCGGGGTCAGCAGCACTGCAGCCGCCTGTGTGCTTCCCCGGCCGGGCGGGGGGGGTTACCCTGTCTCAGCGGGCTGGCAAGCGCGGACGGTTTCTCAGCCAGGGATGTTCTGTTTCTGTTCTCGTTGACTCTGTGTAACAAGCTCGGTGTCAGCAAGGTAGGTCAGCTGACTGGCTGTTTGCAAGCGCTCTGTGTCTGCTTTTGGGATTTTCCTCAGCCACTCATCTGGGCATCTTCCCAGGGCCGCGCTTTCAGCTCCGTTCCCTTCCCTGCCATGCTGGCTGGCTTGCAGTCGATTTCTCAGTGGAAATTTTCAGATAACAAAATGTATGCGGCTGTCAGAAATCTTTTTTTATTGCCAGCTAGATATTTCCTGGTGGGACTAAAACTTAGTGGGAAAATGTAACTGCAGGGAGCTGAGGAATATATTGTTGATTCAAAATGTTGCTTAACCACATGGCATTTGTGGATATCCTAAATAGAATATTAATATCTTGTGATGGCCTTTCGAGTCTGTTTCCTTGCCTGTTTATAGTTCTTTTATAACTTCTAGAACTAGGGCTTACCAAACAAAATTAAGAGGTAGCAGGTTTGAAACAAACACAAGGAAGTTTTTCTTCACGCTGTGCACAGTCAACCTGTGGAACTCCTCGCCAGAGGATATTGTGAAGACCAGGACTTCAACAGGGTTCAAAAAAGAGCTAGGTACATTCATGAAGGACAGGCCCATCAATCGCTCTTAGCCAGGATGGGTAGGGATGGTGTCTCTACCCTCTGTTTGTCAGAGGCTGGGAATGGGCGACAGGGGAGGGATCACTGGATGATTCCCTGTTCTGTTCACTCCCTCTGGGGCACCAGGCATTGGCCACTGTTGGGGGGCAGAACCCTGGACTAGATGACCCTGTGGTCTAGATGCATGCAGTGATGACAGCATTGCTGGGAGACCGGCAGCCGTGCAAGATGCTGCATCATGCAGAACAATGTTTGGGTGAGGGCAGGTTGGCTCAGTGTGGCCTCATGACGTGCGTGGCTGCCTACGCCGCGCACGAGCTGTGAAAAGAATGCACGTTGGTGTTATGCCAAATGTGGCTCACTTTAGCGGTGTTTCCAGCTAGTTCCATGCTGCCCACACTCTGCTGCTCAGGCTGCTAAAGCCGTGCACTGCCCCAGATGGGCAATGTAAAACAAATGGTTTTAGGGAAGCCCCAGGCGGTGGGTGGGTGGGTGTGTGTGAGAGAGAGAAGGGGAACAGGCAGGTTGAGGGTCACACTCCTGACTTCTGTTGCTGACGCTCTGCTGTCTTTGCTTGTGTCCCCACCAGCTGTGTCTCAAGAGCAGGACCATGAATCTGGGTATTTCATTTGTTCCAATGCTGCTTCTGCTGTTGCTACTTCCTAGTGGGCCCACCCATCCTGCTGTTCCTCTTTGCACGAGCCTTTTTGGGGCATTTGTTACCACATCGCCCAGCCGTGCCCAGCTCTGACTCGGGGATTTGGATGTTCCCTAGGATTTGTGTCCTAGCAGACCCCCTGCAGAGTCGTATGGAGCTGGAGATGGCTCCTGTCCTGCTGAGTAGGTTAACCTCTTTGGAGACGTTTCTAATATTTCCCAGTCCTGTTTAGGTTTTACTGTCAGACAGCACTAGAGGTGAAAGAGCCTCGCTGCGGGAGAAGCTGGTTTAAATGCAGCTGCCCCCAATGGCTTCATTCCATTTGGCCAAACTCTCTCCTTGCCTGTCTCTCCTACCATTAGCATCAGCTGCTTCTCCTAGTGTTTCATGGGATTGTTGGGCCTTGTGGATCCAATGAGCCAGAACTGCAACAAACCTTGTTTCTCACCTCTAAGCAAAGAGAGACAGAGCTAGGAAATTTCTCTTCACCCAGCGCACAGTCAACCTGTGGAACTACTTGCCAGAGGAGTGGTGAAGACCAGGTTTTGAACAGGGTTCAAAAAAGAGCTAGATAAATGCATGGAGGTCAGGTCCATCAATGGCTATTAGCAAGGATGGGTGGGAACGGTGTTCCTGGCCTCTGATTGTCAGAGGCTAGTAATACATGACAGGGAGGGATCACTTGCTGATTCCCTGCTCTGTTCACTCCCTCTGGGGCATCTGGCATTGGCCACTGTCGGCAGACAGGACACTGGGCGAGATGGACCCAGTCTGGCCGTTCTTCTGTTTATGTTGTAACAGGGGAAAAAAATCAGTAGCGCACAGAAGTTTATTTTGCATGATGCTGAAACCAAATTGTTATTTAGATTAAAATATAAACAGTGGTGTCTGCTCTGGATCCTCCACAGTCCCTCACGGCTACTTGCTGTATCTACGCTGCTCCGCCAATACCTCTGGAAATGCCGAAAACCTCACTGCAGGCCTTCCCTCTCTCAGAACAGGTCTGCACGGCCGGGGTAAAGCAGCAGCAAAGACCCCGGCTGGCAATGTGAGGGGGGCCCAGATCCCCGCCTGCTTCTCCAGCTCTCTCGGAACCCAGACTGACTGCACCTCGGCTGCTGTTTGGA